ATCAGAAGTCTCCTTTTTCTAGAAATCTCCTTAAATGCTTTAATTTGACACTATCTGAAAGTGATACTTAAGTCGTGGTAAATCACATTTAATTGCAGCAGTCTGCTCGCTATTATTTTACCATTGCTTCTATTTCTCTCTAAGCTCTCAAAGCCCCCACTTAAAATAAAATATTCCTTAATGGACGTGCTTCCATCCTGAAGGCCTTTTTGCCCTTCTAGGTCAATTAGTTTGACTTAGGTTAAATGAGTAGCAATCATATTAAAAGGTCAGGGAAAGCTAAACATTACAACTCTGCTCAAGGAATGCAGCCATTTGTGTTTTTATCTCATTTGCTGCAATGGAACTTTCTGGAAAAGCTGAATCTCGTCTGTCTGAGCCACTGGGTATCCACAGCACCGAGTTCTTCACCTCAGCAATGTTTGAGGAATGAGGCTGAACCAGCCGGGCGGTAGGGGACGGTTGGAAGGGTACAGGTGTTCACCGCTAGTGGGTAGTCGAGTCGGGATTAAAAGCTGGGTCTTTGCAGGTCCTGCCAGAAGTTGCCATGGAGGGGCAAAGAGGGCAGGGATGAAAATCACTGTAAGTGGAGCAGATTAGGCAGCCCAGAAACAAAGAGAAATGGGAAGGTTTTATTTATAATGACTAACACGGAAGATCTCTGGGCTAGCTTCTTGCCTTGCAAGACAGGTAGAGGGTGGCTGAGAATGGCCTGGAATATCTCCAGAGACAGATTGCTTATCTCCTCGTGGGGCTGGGAGGATGCTGATCACATCCCCGACTCCACTGGGGAATCACTAATCAAAATTACTTTATAAAGGGCTAGTAGGAAACTCCTAGTCATCAGTGTTCTTTAGTGCGCAAAACTCAACAAAGGCACAGAGAATTAAGAGATTCTAGATGGTGCCACCCCACACAGCATGCCATAATGAGCTGACAAGCCTTTTGTGACCTCACCTTCCACCAGATTCTATAGGCCACCCAGTTCGCTATGCCAGGGTTTGTGTGTGTCAGAAAGCAGGGACCAATCTGGGCTGATGTGATGGAGAAACCAGGACTCAAATCTAGGTCTGTCTGATGGACCTCACTTAACTGCCCTCCCCAAGCAGGCTCTTCAAATGTTGGGGTTCTTCTGAAAGGGGTATCCTCTTAAGCCTACACAGCATGGTATCAATAAATGGATCATGTTAAGAATATAGGGGGATGGGTCACACGTGATATGATGGTGACTACAACGATGAGAGGAAAAAAATTAATAAAAAAGATAATGCAGGGCCTCCCCTGGTGGCGCAGCGGTTGAGGGCTGGGCTGCGAAGCTGCCTGCAGCCTCTGCAACACCGGTTGGATCCCCGGCCGCCTGCAAGGGTCCCACATGGCGCGCAGACCTCTCCTGCCGCCCGCTGCTCCCCTCAGCAGTGTACTTCTGTCCTTCTGCCTGCTCTGCTCCCCGCTCTGGCTCTAGTGAATTCTCTCGCCCTCCCGCGCTTCTGACTGTACCCAGTGCTTGTATAAATAAATAAATAAATCTTTATTAAAAAAAAAAAAAAAAAAAGATAATGCAGGGCCTCCCTGGTGGCACAAGAGGTTAAGTCTCAGCACTATGAAGCTATCAGCAATCACTGCAGCATGATTTCCATCTCCAGCCAGGGAGCTACCCACATGGTGCAGCAGACCTCTCCTGTCTCCCCACTGCTCCCCTCAGCAGTGTATTTCAGTAGATCTGCATGTTCTGCTCCCCACTCTGTCTCTGGTGAATCCTCTTCCCCGGTCCTGCACCTCTGATCTGTATCCCAGCTCTTGTACGCAAAAATAAATCTTTTAAAAAGAGATTAAAAAAAACAAATAATGTAGGGGGAGAGGCATAGAAGGTGGGAGAAATGTGGGCACTGAGCAGAGAACAGGTCATGAGAGTTGGGAGGGCCCTTGAACTTGGCTCTTGGTTGTCCCTGGCATCAGCCATCATGGCCTCTGGGAATGAGCCTCTGGACATTCTTCTCCTTTTATGACCCTCCTGGGAAGCTTCTTTGATGTGTTTGGATCTCCATTCAGAGTGCCAGGTCTTCCTAGAAAGTGACCATCTCTTGTCCCAGAAAGTCCACAACCTACTGGGTCTAACCTGCACCTGGAGGAGTCGTGCAGCACAGGGCAGCCCCTCCCACCCCCACCTCCAGAGTGGAGTGTCTGTCGGAAACACTACACTGAAGAGCTTGTTTTTCTCTTTTTCTTTTTTTTCCAGTTTATTTTATATTGATATTTAATAAGTGTGTCTTTGGTGGTGTCTCTCTGCTCATTATTTAAACTCTGAACATTGAAACCCTGTGGATTTCATAGGAAATAAATGTTGACTCATGGTGATGGAATATATAAATGTTCTAAATTTTAATGTCAGTGACCACTGGGCTTGTTGTTTTTTTTTTCCCCACAGGGCCTAATTTCCATTTTAAAAGACAGACCTCCAGTCAGGATCCAGGGAGGGTGGGCGGCTATTTCCTTGGATGTCTTCACTCTCATTAGTAAGATGTTCTGCTTAGTGTTTTCTTTCCTCCACGTGCCTTTATACATCCTCTCTTCATTTCTCCCTTTGTTGTTGCTGACACTAATGTCACCACCAAATGAGGCCTGGGGACTCACAGCTTGACAAGTAATAGTTATTTACCTGCCTGTATTGTTACCTTCAAGCTGTTTTCACGAATAGCTCATTAAGTCATATAGGCGGGAGAGTAGGTAAGACAAGCTTAATTCCCCACTTTACCTATGAGGAAGACAACACCGCACAGGTTGGGGTCACTGTAAGGCAGCTTAGGTCCAGAGTGGGGTGTCCCTCCCATACTCTGTGCCTTCCCTTTAGAATTATCCCTGGGGATCCAAAGACACATTATAAACTCATGTCTTCATCTATGGAAAGTCCACACCCTATACCAAACCATACCATACCATACCATCTCTAACCATACCATCCCAAACCATACCATACCAAACCATGCCATACCATGCCATGCCATACCATGCCATGCCATGCCATGCTGTCCTATACCATCCCAAACCATCCCATCCCATCCCATCCCATGCCATGTCATGCCATGCCATACCATGCCATGCCATCCTATACCATCCCAAACCATACCATACCATACCATACAATACCATACCATCTCAAACCATACCATATCATACCAGCTCCCCTTGCTCAATATGTGCTTTGTGGGGTTGGTAGTCACTCTATTATTTAAAAAAAAAATACTTCAATCAAAATATGGATTAAAGAGAGAGGGCTGGAGAGAACAATTTAAGAACCAATCAGATTTCTCCAAGTTGACATTTTGCTATAGATGCTTGAGATCCATCCCTCTGACATGAAATGCAGTGAAACAGAAACAGCTAATTCTCACCTTCCTCGTCCTTGTCTCCCTCCAGGGCTGCGCCCATCCTGAATTGCACACCCTTCTGCTGCATGTGTCTCTAGCGCACACCCGCAGCAGTCAGCTTTGTTTTGGAATAATCGGTGTGAATAGTTTCCTTCTGCATATTCTCATTGTAGGCTGACTTGGGACAAGCACTAGACTGCTCTGCCTCTCTCAGAGTCCAGCTTTTCTGCATGTGTGGGGGTCAACTCAGGGGGAATGTGGCATGGCGGGTATTGACATTAGCAGTTCCACAACTGTGGTTCCAATGGAGGTAGGAAGATGGGGGACTAAGTTTTCTTGTGGATTCAACTGGCCATTCAGAGTGGATGACCTCCTAAGACATCCCACCAGCAAAAACAGGCCATGGATTTGAGTGCTTTCTGCATCTGTACCCCCTGGGGAGAGGCCAGGAAACTGTAACTGTCTATGCCTGGGATCCTGGCAGACTACAGGGGACTTACATGCCCCATGACTGGGAGACAGCAAACTGTTTCCAGAGTTTGGTGGAAAATTATTATCAAAAGCTCAGAATGTTCTTTTTGTCTGGCGCCCTCTGGTGGTTGACTGGACAAAAGACACTCAAGTCCCCGACTGAGCAGCCCCAGGGGTGGAAGCCTCTTCTAGTCGCTGCTCCCTGCTGCCACTGGCTCCTCCCTCATTAATGCATTCTGGTGGCCTCTTTGGACAGGACACATTCGGTGCATCGCTGGGATAACTGGCTCCCAACCAGTGTTGTTTTTGTCAGTCACATTGTGACTGGAGCTGTGGGAAACCCGAAGAAGAAAGCATTGTTTGTGTCCCTAAGGAATTTAAAGTTTATTGAGTGAGACAGGCTCATAAGCAGCTGACCAGACTCAGTGCCAGGGTGGCAAAGACTGGACAAAAGTGAGCAAAGGCCTGGGCGGAATAGAGAAAGGAGGTGTGTCACAGAGACCCTGGAGGCCTTTCTGGGGAAGCCGGTGTCTGAACTCTCAAGGAAAGAGGATTCTGAGGTGGAGAACACGGGGGCACCTGTGGGAACCACATCCTCCCAACCTGTCTCCCCTTCTCCTGGGACTTGCCTTATTTCCCTCCCCCTTCCTCACCACTGTCCCAATAGTTCTCCAAACGATGACTATGTGCACTTTCCAGACGAGGGAGGGTCGCTGGGCCCTGGAATCTTCCATCAGACTGCTCCTCACTGCCCCTTTCCCTGTTTTCTGTGGTGCCTCCCAGCTGCCCACCCCTCTTGCCCTCCTTCCTGCCAAACAGCTGGATCCCTGAAGGGTTTTTAACAATTTGAGAATGCCGCTGTGTAACAATTAGAGTGGAACTGGTGGTTCATGAGGTAAATTCACATTAAAGTTTGCTTGACAAGATCAAGCATTCCAAAGTGGCTGCATAAAAGAGTCCCCATTACTATAAATCCCTGCAGCATTATAACTTTTATTTTTTTGTGCCTTCACTTAACCCCTAATCAGCTATCGGCATGTTCTCAAAAGCATTCCATTTTTCTTCATCACACTGTTTTCTTACAAATATGCTTTGCTGGTGGAGTTTCATTTGGTCCAAGGAAGCTCCCACCAGGCTGGGTACCCCATACCTCACCTTATTTCTAAAAGGATGGTACATCTCACGAATTTGCACGTTGTCCTTGGGCAGGGCCAAGCTCATCTTCTCTGTATTGTTCCAGTTTTAGTATATGTGCTGTCAAAGCAAGCAACATCTATTTTTCATCAAGCATTGGTTTATAACACTTTATAGGTTTCAGGTGTACAGCTGTGTAGCTCCATATTTTATGTGTGCCCCAGTGTGCTCATCATGAAAAGTCTAGTTTCTGTCCCCACCCTATTATCGACCCCTTTGACTTGATTTACCCACTCTTTTCCCCCTTTCTGGTAACCATAAAATCGTTCTGTGAATATACAAAAAATGCATAAAACTATAAAGAAAATTCAATGACTGATAAGCATAAAATTCAGGTAGTGTTTACCCTGGACACATGAGGGAGGAATAGTTTGGAGGTATGGGGGGAGACACACAGAGAAGTTTGGAGGTATGGGGGGGACACACAGAGAAGTTAAGCTAAGATGTGGGCACCCAGTTCTTTTTTAGTGCTCACGATGGTTTACATCTTAGAATCCTCTCCTATGTACCGTATACCTCATTTTCCTTCATGCACAAAAATAACATGTAAATCTTGAATCACAATAAAATGTTTGAGAGACTGGAACATGGCCCATATGAAACTGGTACAAAAATTTAATGCAAGTAAATCTAAATCACTCAAAGATGAGTCATCCAAATAGCATGAGGTCAGAACTTAAAGATGAGACCAGACAAAAGGCAGGAAAATCATTATTTTTTAAATGTTGCCATAAGACAAACGAAAAGTAACCAAACGTTTTCAATCAAATCACAGATAATTAAGCCATCACCTCTAAGAGGCAAACAAGAGGCTAAGGGTGAAATAGCAGGGGTAAAGGATGAAAAGAGAGCTGAAGAACACTTGAAAAAACAGGAAAAGTTCAAATTGCAAACAATAATTTAGTCTGAGGACAGGGGTAGAGAGGGGAGAGGAAAAGAAATTTCTTGGTGAGCCACATAGTCTTTGCCTCTTGAAAGCACATTCACTTTGCACTTGGATCATGAACAATAAAGCACTTTCCCTCACCTCCCCATGTTTGAGCCCCTGGCGCTCACCCTGTGACTGTCTGGACCTCGATGCCTGGGACACCCCAGCTGAGCCAGGTCCCTCTTGTTCCAGGACAATCTACCTCCCAGCCACTCTGAGCATGTGGGGCCGCGTAGACATCAGGATTCTGCAGACTGTGCTGATGTTTGAATCCCAGTGGAAGTGTGGCCCCCACTCTGCGCCCCTGGGCACCCTGGCTCTGCTTCCAAGATCAGAAGTCCTGAGATCAAGTTGCAGCGTCAGCACCCCCCCCCAACCCACCCCCCGCCCTTGTTCTGACCCCTTCCTAAGGGCTCTATTCCCCCTTAATTCTGTCAGACACATCCAGACAGTTAGCAGGGAACAGGATGAGAGGGAGCGTGGCGGGCCTGGCAGTGGCATCAGGTGAGTTTATTTACCATCACCCTGGAAGCTTCAACTGGCAGGGTTCTGACAGGAGGAAGGGTCAAACAGCCCTCTTGGGCCCCACGTTTACACCAGCTCATGGGGACTTGTGCTTATTAGGACTCCGTGGGAGGCAGCCCCATGTTACTGAACCATGGTTTTGAGGGCTACCCACACTGTGATCCTTGGATGGTAAGAAGACCACCCCTCTGAAATTTTTTTTATCTTTAAAATGTGAGACACTTTCTCATCCTTCAGCAAGTGGGATGGAGGGAGGGACAGAGCAAGTGTGAAGAAGGGACAGTGTCAGACGGTTCCCTCTATGGCCTGGACTCAGAGAGCAGCAGATTCAGGAGAGGTCTGTCACAAGGGAGGGCTGGGCACAGAGGCGCCAGCCTAGCAGGAGCTGACTGTGAGGCAGGCAGGCACCAGGAGAGGAGAGGAGTCTTGGCTGCCAGGGCACAGCAGGAAGAAATCTGGGTACTGATAGCCCCCCAGCCCCTGCTTGTTCTGATGCCTTTCTTTCCAAGGCCCTGAGGCACCAGGCACTGGGAGGTCAGGGCATTAATGGCAGCTTGGAGCTTCAAGAATTTGAGATGTTGAGGGGGTGGGGGAAGCAGGGGCACATCTCAAAGTCAGGTACACACCCTCTTCAGAGCAGGTTTGGGGTTCCAGGGGCCACTCCCTGGCCCTTGGATGACAACTACTTAGTGACACTCCTAGTCAACAAGACGCTGAGAAGAAAGGACTTGAAACATCAACGAAAGGAAGCCCATTACTCATGGAGGAATCTGAGCAGATATGACTGGAGCTGAGACACACCAAAGCCAAGCCACAGAGGACTATCACATCTTCCAGCCGTAGCTGGAGAGGATATCATTGCATTCATGTTGGCTCCCCCACCCAAGCACTGGCCTGCAGATTCAGGGGAGCCTTAACAATCACCATGTCTTTCTTTTGACACACTCCCAAAGTGGACACTATCCAGACTTAACCATACTTTTAGTCGAAGTTCAAAAACCAGAGCCACAAAAGCACAAAAGGGGGTTCAAGCACTTACTGGATTATAAAAAAAAAATCACAAGAGCAGCAAGGAATATTCTGAAAAGTCTCATGTAAAGAAGCAGACTGCAGAAAAGAAAGGATGGAGGAGGCCAGCGTTTGCCCTGGGGGAGGGAGGAAGTCTCGGGAAGGGACTTACTCTGTAGCACTGAATCCTAAGGCAAGTTAGGGATAATTAGGCAGCCTCAAGAACAGTGCAGGGACTTAGGAGAGTTAAGGAAGGCTCCAGAGAAAAGGACAACAAATTCCAAAGGGGACTAATCAAACACCCCAAGACTCAGGACAATTGGGACTTACTTTAGGGTCAACAGGACATTCCAAATAGAAAGCAATGAAGAAAAAAGATAAGGGCTGGGACACAGAGGCTTAGTTCTGGGCACAGAGACATTTAGGCAGTGAGTGAGACCCACGAGAACTAACCAATCACGAAGAGCCTGGTGGAGCTTTAGAATAATGAGGGAAAGGAGGTGCATATTCCCTGAGGCACGAGTCCACTTGGGTTTCCTTGCCCCTCCCTGGCCTGCTTCCAAGGCCTGGGAGTCCCACTTTATTTCTGTTCTTTTTCTCCTCAATAAACTTTTTCTTTCTCTAAACAAACCTGCCTCTTCTCGCTTGCTTGCCTGAGTGTCTGTGAAGTTCCTGCCGCGGCTTCGTAGACACCAACCCGTGGTGGACTAGTGGCTGGGACTCAGCGCTGCCCTGCAGCCTGGGATCTGTTCCTGGCTGGGAGACTAGGCCTGAAAACCTACAATTCTGGTATCAGCACCCGATGAAAATCATGGCCTTCCAAGAGCATTTCAAAGACCAAAGGCAAGGTCCTTGTGTTGTAGAGCAACCCCGATACAAAACGGGGTGCCTGACTGTGGGTCCTCACCCGCGTGCTTAAAAGGACTTATCAATGCTCTACTGCAGGCACACGCGAAAGGTTAATAAAAGGTTTATTTACAAGGGAAGGGCAAACGAGGAAATGTACAACTCAGGGAGAAAAGTGGGAGACAAAGTTTTAAATGAGTCCTACCCGATCCGACGATCAGGAATCCCAAATGGTGCTCTGAGAGCTGGCCACCAGCCAGGAGCCGAGAAACCAGGAAGCAAGCGATAGCAGCCACCCCAAGGCCCACGTGTTTGGTTTTTATACCCAACCTGGCTGCTTAACTCCACCCTCAGGTCTCAGCCACCTTCCCTTTGGTGATGATGGGATTTGGAGTTCCCAGTGTCTTGATGGCTTTGGTCTGGAGTGGGGGTGGAGTCCACAAAGCCTGCATGGAATTAGCGCAGGACATCCTTTCCCCCTAATACTCTTATTGTCACCATCTAGAGGAGGTTCAAAGTCACAAAGAGGTTTGTTAAACTTGCCCAAGAACAGAGCCAGCAGGTGATGCAGTTGACCTTTGGACTCAGCAGCCCTCCCACATTATATGGTAAATCCTGGGTGCTTTTCTTTCTTGCCCCAAGGCTTTCTGCCTACTCTTAGATTCCCTCTGGGCCTCACTGCTCAGGAGGAAAGAGATCTGAGGCCCTGAGGACTATGGAAATGGACCCCTCCCTACCGCAGGGGCTGGTCCTCACTTCAGGTTTTTCTGAGTCCAGTTTTTTTTTTCTTGTGGACCTGAGGGCTATGACTAGGTTGGTAGCTGAGGGGTACCTGCTGGGCAGAAGTTTCCCAGGGAAGGTGCAGATTCTCCCCTGAGACCAGCCAAGTCCTGTCCTGACCCCATGGGAGGTGGTAGCTATGAGGCCAGCTATCTCCTTCAGTTGTCAGCCACCAAACTGGTTCGATGCCTGTGATTGGCAAAAGGAGTGTGAATGTCTAGGGGTTTTGTGACCACTGATGACTCTGGGTTTGCTCTCTGGGTCTTTCTGCAGGGTGGGTTGTAAATTTAAACTGGAAGGTCTCCCTGGAGGTATAGGGGTTAAAGTCTCAGCGCTATCAAGCTATCTCCAGCCACTGAGGCATGAGTTCAATCCCTGGTCAGGGAGTTGACCAACATGGCGCAGCAGACCTCTCCTGTCTCACCCACAGTTCCCCTCAGCAGTGTATTTCAGTAGATATGCCTGTTCTGCTCCCCACTCTGTCTCTGGTGAATCCTCTCACACCCCCACACCTCTGGCTTACACCCCAGGTTTTGTATGCATAAATAAATCAATCTTTAAAAAAATCCGAAATTTGGGGCCTCCCTGGTGGCACAAGGGGTTAGGCACTGCACTATGAAGAAATTCACAGCCTCTGCAGCACGAGTTCAATCCCCGGCCAGCCAGAGAGCAACCCACATGGCAAAGCAGACCTCTCCTGTCTCGCCTGCTACTCCCCTCAGCAGTGTATTTCAGTCAGTCTGCCTGTTCTGTGGCCCACTCTGTCTCTGGTGAATCCTCTCACCTCCCGCATCTCTGGCCTGTACCCCAGCTCTTGTATGCATAAGTAAATAAATCTTTAAAAAAAATCCAAAATTTGAACTTGAGCACCATAAGTTCAGCACCGGGGGTCTCTCCCATCCAGGCCACCCCTCCCATAGCAGCTTCACCTGGGCCTACCAGAAGGAATTCAGTCAAAGCAAAATCAGGCTCAGACAGTCATCTC